GTAGCAGGCACGCGGGTAGGATGTGTCACATGACGCTGACACCTACTGAACCAGCAACATGGCTCCTCAGCTGTTGTCCGAACACCTTTGACCCTGTTTGCTCCGGGTTTCCCCGGCCTGCAGTCAGGTCACAGTAACAGAGGTCTGCCGGGAACCAGCGACTTTAAACGAATTCCAGCTGCGGAGTACACTTAACTGTTTAAAAGTAGTTCTTAAAGTCGTTTATTTATTTATTTTTATTCTACCTAAAGATATGTTATCCCATACTTCGATGAGACTGGAATTTATTATATGTCTTCTCGGTCAATTTTAACAGAGCAGCATTAGTATAATTGTTCGCCATCGTCAGATATTTCCGTTGGACCCTGAACGCCCCATTGGTCGAGATTTTGGCTGTGACATGAATGCGGCTCCATCTTGACTGGAGCTGGGCCTCGTCATATCTACAGCCCTGAGTACACAGTATACAGCCATAATATCTCTGTCACAAACAGTGTGTGTGTGTGTGTGTGTGTGTGTGTGCGTGTGTGTGTGTGTGTGTGTGTCATTGAAATATGAATGCTGGTGATTTTATTGCATGTTCAGAGTCAGCTGTCATCCTCTAGTCGCTGTCCGACTTGGCGTCCTTGGCCGTGGTGTGGTTGTACAGTCCCTGCGCCATCAGATGCAGCGCCAGAGAGTTTTTATTCCCGGATGCCTTCTTGATTTTGGCACGCTTGTTCTGAAACCAGATTTTGATCTGAGACTCGTTGAGACCGAGGTCCCGGGCCAGGCTCTGCCTCCGTTGCTCGGTCAGGTAGCGGTTGTTCTGGAACTCCGTTTTTAACCGCTGGAGCTGCTCCGCGGTGAAGGCCGTCCGGGGCCGTTTGTCCTCTTTACTCGGGGTCGGCGCTTTCTTTGGTTTGCGAGATCTGGGCCCTGAAGTGGAGTGAAACAAATGACAGCCAGTGGTTAGAGTCAGCACCGTGGACTTTTCACACGTCATATTTTTACACCTCAGCTGTACGTACAAAAATGAAACGGGCTCAGTTATGAGTGGAAAACGTCTCTGTTCACATTTGCGCCAAATTAGGCAAATTTGTCCTCACGGCCAGGACTCACGTGACCTCCTGACAAAGCTGTTTAGATGCGGACTGAAGAAGAAAGTCACCGACATGGGGCTGATCTAGTTGATTAGTTTTTAGTATCTAATCTTATTTTAAAGGACATTTTGGTCACAACCTTTAATTCCATCCAACTGGATGCGATGGACCACACTGGGCATTAAACACAGCTTAATGCTGGAGGAGGAGAGGGTGCAGATGGGGGTGGGGTTTGGAGATGAGGAAGGATGGGGGCTTGGGCGCCTCTTTCCCTCTCTGTAGCATAGGAACTCTATTTTTAAAAGTACTTTTCTTTTGTCTCCGCGCTGACATTGAGGTGTTTCTGCCGCGCTGGGATCCGGTGGAGCATCCATGAGAAATGATTGAACTCAGTGTAAAGACAGCAGGCATACCTGCTCAGTACAGAACTCCCCATCAGGACAGGTGCACATGAAGCCGCTGCGCTGAAGGCCTGCATGCACTCTGACCTGGTCACGCGCATCGGGACGCTGTAACGTGCGCCGGGGCTCAGGTAACCGGACCGGTGCGCGGACGGAATCATGCGAGGGAGGCTGCGGGCTCTCCGGCCAGGAGCTTTTCATGAACTCGATGAATGTTTTTTTCTTTCGATTCATCGATTTAAATAAATAAATAAACAAATAAATATTTTAGTTATGAATAAATAAAAACAAAACTCTTCCAAACGCGTCTTCGATACATGACGACGGTCTCGTCCTGCGCTCGGCTGCTGTGCTGTAGCATCGTTTTAGCAGCTGACTGAGTCTACACGGTGACAAAGGAAAAGTCCAAGTTTCCACGCACCCGCTGGCTGAATGAGCCGAGCTCGGTGCAAACTTCCACTTTAGCCCTAAAAACTCCCCGAGAGAGGGACAGGCTGGAAATAGGCTTCACCGCGATGCGCCATAACGTGAGGGAAATGCTCCGTTTGCAAACATTTACTACGCAAATGTTGGGTTTCTTCTTCTTCTTATCATCATCATCATTATTATTATTATTATTATTTTATTTTTTATTTTTACAAGTGAGATGAAATTAAATTAAATTAAATTAACTTTGAACTGTGTTCTTAAGCATTTTTCGATTGAACGGACAGACTTTGGATGCACAGCCTTCACTTTTTAGACTACCCCATTGTCAAAAATATGCTAATAGAATATTAACAAAGAGCACCGGGGAACAATGGCGTTAACTTGGTTTTTTACTTCACTTCAACATCATTTCACTTTACTTTCGTCTCATGTTTAATTTCGTCGTTTTTTCAGAGCACTTTCTAGCCGCCTCGTGGATTTAGTTTTTATTTTAAAGCTACATTCAGATTGAATTGTGCGCAGAATAGAAACGAGTTTCCAAAATGCGTCTAAATTCCTGTGAAATCTGCGCTCACGCTGCTCCTGTCGTTTCAGGTTTAAAGTATGAAATTATTACTCCAACATCAGTTGTGTTGATTTAATGATGAGTTGTTACCAGTGATGAGTATATTATATGAAGGTGGGGGTCGAGGCCATTACTTCGGCACTGCTCAGAAAATGATGCAATAGCAGCTTTTTGGCTGCTTCCTCAAATTCAGCCTTTAAAGTGACTCTGAATTGCAAAGAGCAGCTGTCTTTTTCTTTTCATGAACTAGACCTGGATGAGGAGTGTTTTTACTAACCTGATGACGGACGGTCCGAGTAGCGAGTACAATACACCCAAGCTGGCCACAGCATCGATTTGGCCGCTGTGGCAGTGCTGGCCTGAGGGCTGCTGCAGCGGTCATTAGCCGCCTCACGGGCCACTACGCCGGGCCTCCTGGCGTCAATGTCCGGATGCTGGTCTTCATCCTCTCCCGGGTTCTCCTCTTCTTTGCCTCCTGCTCCACCCTGCCGAGGGTTAGCACTTTTGGGAGGCTTCCTCCCTGTCAGCTCCTCTCTTTGTATGAGCACTCCAAGAGCGTCTCCCTGCCGATCCGGAGCCCCATCCTTCCTCTTCAGGCCGAAATCCGGCCTCAAAATGTTGTCGATGTAAAAGTTAGTGATCCTGTGAGACTGTTGGTTGCCAGGTGGCTGCAAGAGGGGCAGGATGGCCCGGTTGGACTGCTCCCCGGAGTCCCGTGGGCGCTCTGGGTCTCGGCGAGCATTTCCTTCCATTCTGATGAAGCCTGAGCAGCTTCAGCACCTGCTCCCTTCCACAGCGTAGTGACTCCAATATCACTTTATTATCAGTTAATATCTATATTTGTCGCTGCAGTGAGAAGAGCGAGTTGCGTGGCGCAGTAGTTTGTATTGTTTTCTGTGCAAACGCGCCTGCGGGGAATTTGACAAAGGAAAAACAACCATGCTTCAGTTTGTGCTCCTCACTCCTCGACCTGCAGCTCACCTGCGTCACTTTCAACCTCACAAAACTCCATTTCGTTCGTTTGCTTTGTTAAATCACTCTTTTGATTTTCTTGCTCCCTGCACACAATTACTGACGCTCCAGCAGCTCCAAGTGCGCTCATCAAGACGCCGCTCAAATACTTTCACTACTGATTTTTGGTTTTCATTTCTGATTGGCTGCGAGACACTGCGATGACGTCGTACTACGGGTCGTTCAGACACGTGCCTCCGACCAATAGAGGCAGAGAGTTGGTGTCATGTGAGGTTCCGGAATTCCCGGGAGGCGCAAATTAATCCAATCCACTCAGTCACTTTACGGTGCATTCAGGTTCCAGCGGAAAATTCCACTTCTCTGAACGTTTGAAGGTTCCGTTTGACCTCTGCAG